TTGGGAAGCGGCCAGGACTCTCCATTTTAAAGGCTATTCACCCCTCAGTCTGCATAAAATGTCCTGAGGATTTAAACTAACCAGTGTGTAAATGTCTCACAGTGTCTCTATATGACACCTGTTCATTTGAAAACTAATTCTCTTTGATTTTATGGAAGCAGTGTGTTGATAAAGGGCCGGGATAACGCGCTGAAATGAGTGGCCGTCCTGCCCTTCCCCTGCGTCTCTAATTAAGATCCTGGTGCTGCAGCGCTAATGTTAATTCACAGGTGTCTGCTGCCTGCCAGTCACCATAGCAACCTCAAGGTATGCCGTCTAATCCGTAACAGGCACACTTTTTTTTTTATCCTCCCCTTATCAGGACTGATTAATCTGGACAACAAACAATGCTCGCTGTGGCATGGGCAACCTGCTGCTGATTTTTTCTGAACAGGAAATTGAGGCTGGCTGGTGATAGTCAGATTTTAAAGTGCATTCTGGGTGGGGAGGGGGGGAAAGAGTAAAGGCTTGTTCATGAAAGAGCACTAAAGCCCCTTAGCAGCCTAACTTCCCTGGATGTTTACTCAGAGCGGATCGCCATGAATGTGAGCGTTAATTCTCACTCAGAAAGGGAAGCTATATATTGCTCACAACCTGTTCTAGTCAGATCGATGTGCTCACTCTCGTGGGAATTCAAAAAGTTCATCTCAGCACACAACCATCTCATTCATCGCTCGGTAGTCTGCGGTCTTCGTTAATCTTTTTAATTCCAGCTCTCTCTGTGTAAAGTTCCACTGATACACAGACACAGGGCCCGGGATCACGTAACTTAAAGCCAAACATCTTTAGCTGCCCAGTTGGAGGTGATATTCTGGCTACTAAATTTGGCAGATTCAAAAATATTCATGAGGAAAACAGAAAAAGTGGAAAGTAAGTCCCATTTTCTTTTGTATTGGACATGTAATGATGATTTTCTACAGCAGGAAAAAACTTGAAATATGCCGGTGTACAAGATCAAAAATTGGAGTGGTGGTTTCATTTCAAAGTTTGAAACTAAATAGGCTGACATTTTGCTCAAATATGCTTAATATTCACTTTTCTGTCGAGGATGAGAAGATTGAAACCACTCTCATGGCTGGTAAATATGACGCTAATAGCAGCAGCCAGATAGCTTAGCATATACTGGAAACACAGGGAAAACAGCTAGCCTGGCTCTGTCTGAAGGTAACAAAACCCCTAAACCTATATATTTATATCTTGATTGTTAAACTGTAAAAACGTCATGCTGTGGGGTTTACAGAGCGTTGTGCCAGACTATTTCTAGTCAGTGTCATCACAGTTTTCTATTTAATAGATCAAACAAACAAGATATAACATGTTAATCAGTGAGCTTCTGAGGTAGTAAGCAGATTTAGTTACTTTTAGACAGAGCCAGGCTAACTGTTTTCCCATGTTTCCAGTCTTTATGCTAAGCTAAGCTATCTAGCTGCAGCTTCATATTTACAGTGCAAGCATGAGAGGAGTATCAATCTTCTCATCTAAATCTCGGGAAAACAGTGAATAACTGTAACTGTGTTTACCAAAATGTCAAACTGTTCCTTTAAAGATTGTATTCAGTTGCCACTGGATGTTGCACTACAGCACCAGCATCTCAGACCAACAACAAAATACAACTCACTGAAACTGTCGTTGTTAGTCTTTCCAGCCATCACCAATGCTGGTTTGGTTTAAATAACTTCACCAAGTTAGATGTGAAAATATCAAAAGTGTCTGACAGCATTACGGAAAGGATCCCTACAGAGATAAACCTTTTGTTTATATCACTATTGCTCGGCCCCAGACTCCTTACCTATATCTTTATATAGCAAATTTTAAATCTCATATATAACCTTGAAGTTTTGCTATTTTTGCCAACAAAAGCCTGAAAAAGCGAAAGCAAAATTGATTTTTTAAATCAGTATTTATTTTGATTTCATCAGTATTATAAAGTTGATGTTCTGGTTGGTTGGTTTTTCCTTATTTTTAGTTTGTTTAAAAATGAATATTCAGTGTTCTAAATCTGTCTTGTATGATTGTGTGGTGCCTCGGTATAGTTGTATGCATGACACTAATAAAAATGTCATTCGATGTCATTTATATAAAGTGTATTTTTGACACTAATAACGTCTGAGAACCGGTTCCCAAAGAGATGATGCCAATCGTCTCCGGTTCGCTCTGTTTGATACATTTTTAAAATTACCCTTCATGTTGATTGTACCATTTGGTCTGTACAGAAGCTTTTGTGTTTGATTGAACATTTTGTGCAATCAAATGCTTACAAAGAGACTCTCTGAGACACCATCTCAAATGCACATAGGTGTCAAGACTTAAAGCATCAATCACAAAGCCATATGTGATATTGTTTTTACCTGTGAAGCTGTGACAAGGAGAGATAGAGGTTTAAAGAGAGACGTGCAACACGAGGGCGAGGGTAAGAAACAAGAGTTTCGGAGATTAAACAATGTCATGTGCATTTGTTTATAAGGACATCACGTCAGGATGTTGTCACTGTGTTGGGAGAGATGCATAATTTGCCGCTTTGTGAGAGAACAAACAGTGCAGTACTTCCCTCAATATTGTCCTAATATGTCGAGAGATTGGGGAGGGAAATAGCCTTCGCCTTGTCTACAGGGTGTTGATGACTAGTTAATGAAACCGCTTTCATTTCCTTTCATCCAGTTTATTGTTTTTTCATTGGAAAAGGGAAGTTGTGGCAATTCTATTTCCATAATAAAAATCAATATGGTTGTCAAAGAGGTGGGCGTTTTCCTGTCTTTTATTTCCCACTGAGAAATCAGGGAGGACAAATGCATCCTCCATCACTACAATGATGTTTTGGTAAATAAAGGTGGGTGAGCTTCAATGAATATAGATTGTTCTGTTTAAAAAAGCTACAGCCTAATGCTTAATCTTTATCAGTCAATATTTCAATGATTATCTTCTATAATGATGCAGTTATATGAGAAAACCTCTCAACATGAATAATGTTATTGTTATTAATAATCTTCTCTCTTCATTCCGTCTGTTATTTTGTGAGAGTAGATGCCAACAGTTCTGAATGGTAAACTATTATTTTGAAACTGTCTATTCAATCCATAGACTTGTAACATTTAGTTGATTTATTAATTAATAGATCAGCATTAAAGGAATCGGCAAGTATTTTGATCATAAAAACATTTTTTTGACTGAAATTAATTGGGTCCAGCTTCTCAAATGTGACAGTAAACCGAATATCTTTGGGGTTTGGACATTTTTAAAAGTCATGGGTTTTGGGAACTTTGTGATGGACATTTTTCAAGTTTAATGGATCAAACGATTACTAACTTCATCAAGATCAACATAATTACAGCCCTAATCCATTCAGATTCTTATGTATAGATATGACAATATAGTAAAAATGATCCTTTTTCAACAGTTTGTTGAGAATTTGATGTTTCTACATCAGCTGTCTCCTAATTACACTCCCTTCCTGTGTGCTTCAACTGACTCCAAATGATTAGAAAATGTCTTTTCTGCAACACTGACCACCTGATGTTTCTCCAAACACCCCCCTCCAGTGAACCTTAATTTCCCCCTCACCTGTGGCAAATGCCCCCTGGGTTGTTATGGTAACACGCTGGGTTTGACAGCACTGCTGGCTCCCTAACAGAGTTTAGAGCCGAAGTGTCTCCTGTGATCACAACGCTTGAGCCGCAGCACTGGTGGCTGAGGGTCAGCCATCTTCCTGGTTAAGACCCTCGGGAGCTGATGCTGACAGGGTCACTGGAGGCTAGGCCAACAAAGGAGTAGCCCCTGATCATTAATAGTGCTGGCTGCCAGGTGATAAATACGGTACGAATGCTGCTCAAGGATACCCTGCCTATGTCAGGACTCCATACAGCTGTAACAAGTGTCTCTCAGTGTGTTTATCCCATAGACTGTAACTCCCATCACTGATTGTGGTGATGAAGGACTGAATTAACTTCACTAAGACCTGCCCTAGGACTGCCTGGGACTGGGACTGGGGGGGACGACACTGCAAGTTCAGGCAGCGACAGGAGAGGCATGAAACGGAGGAAGAGGAGCGAGTTAGTCCACAAGTATTTGTTTTTGTAAATGCCTGTACTTTTCTTATTAGACGATAAAACTATGGGCTAAAACAAAAAGTCAAAATATTACTGTGAAATGATTTCTCTTCTGATAAAGAGCAGGACAGAGCCACGACCGAGATATGTATATCATATAGTTTACATGAGGACAATATAGGCTGTGTGACTTGAGCAAGTCCATTAGCAACTGTCAACATGACAGCTATACTGTGTACATACATTATCCAACACTCACTCAGATATAGGCCAATCAGTGGTTGGTACTTTGAGTATTTCCATTTACTTCGCTACATGTAGTTACTTGTTACTTTGCAGAAGATTTTACATAAAACACATTAAGTGTTAAGTTAAAGTACTTAATTAAAGATTAAACCAATTCTTTCCGACCTTTTTCACGTGACCCCTTTAAAAAAAGTGTGTATTGGGGCCATTTGTCAACCCTCAGAGGTAATCAAGTACCGTACTGTACTTGTAATTTGTCATACCTTTTCTTTTCCAATAAAAACTATGTATCTCCAAATTGGTTGTTTTTAAATATGACTTTTTTTTCTGCTAAACTGAAGGATAAAATGTTCCTTCATGTGTTGAGAAAAATCTTCTTAAGTTAAATAAACAATTTAAAAATCCTCTCGAATTATCTGGAAAATGCTAATGTTAATATAGAAGATGCTCTTTTACAATTACATCTGTATGCCTACACAGCACCTCTGACAGTAGGCTAACATATCAAAATATAAATAAAAAACATTCAGTATTTGTGACTGGACACAATGAGAGGGCCACTAATTATACATCAAACCCAAATTCATCTTTTGTTTGAGAGTTAATGCTGAAAGGAAAAACACAGTGTGCTACAATTACACTGGATGGCAATTTAAACTGCAATACTCAACCCCCCACTAGACACACACACACACACACACACACACACACACACTCGTCTCATTCCTTCACTCAGAGAACACTGTGCTCTGTGGTTGCCATAGTAATCCCAAAGCCAATAACAGTCCTAAACCTTTCCTCCCTGAAGTCGAGAAGCCGGGAATGAAAATTCCCCCCAATCAAATTTGCCCTACAGAGTATAAGGTTTTCACTGCTGCTGCCACGTGACACCCATAGCCTGCACCCATTCCCAGACACCCAGCCTACCTTGTGTTTACCCCATCCTCCACCCAACTCGGGAGAAGACAGCATTATAAATCAATTTACAAGCTGTGAGAGGCATCCGGCAGAGGATGGAAATGAACAATGGCAGATGAAGGATATTGGAAAACATTTTCTTGCCGCCACAGTGAGCGGGTGTAGGCTGTGGCGTCGTCTCATGTGCAGCTGGCACAGGAAACCTAATAGTATTTTTGCGTGTGCGTGCGTGTGAGTGAGGAATTTAGGGACGGCGGGGATGAGGAGAGAGGAAGAGGATCTGTACAGTATGAGTCTGTTGCTTGTGTGGTATCCTGAATAATAAATAGTGGAAATGTTCAGTCATAGCAGGCAAAGTTGTTTGAGGTAACTCAATAATTGTTGAATGAAGTGGTGGAGAAGGGGACAGAAAGATTAGCTGTCAGTAAGTGCGTGTGCTGTGGGTTCTGTGAATCTACTGAGTTGATTGATTTGGAGATTTTCACCTTATGTGACCACTACAAGTTCAAAGGGTGAATGTATTCATCAGTGAGTGCAGAGTTTCCAGCACCTGTCTGTCTCACAGGGTCAGACCACAACTTTCCAATCTGTTGTTAAAATCAAATTAAAATAAGTAATAATAATAAATTTTTAGCTATGCTAGAAGCTTAGCAATGTCAGTCAGTCCATGAGACCCATATGCAGGCCCTGCCTAAAACAGACACCTGTACATGGTCCATACCCGCACCTTTCAACTAGGGCTGCTCCATATGGTAAAAAAAAAAGCGATTATTTTGACAGATACTGCAATTGCAATATGATAATTTTTCCAATCACAATTTGAATTATCACTGAAAAAAACAATTAAAATCATGATGATGTTATATTTGTCTGTACAAACAAACCTCTTAAATCTGGTTCTCCAGATTTTTTGGTCAGGGAATCTCTACAGTACTTCATCATAATGCTGTTTTGACACACATTTTTACCTTCTTATGATTTGCATATTGCACTTGGCCATACTGCGAAAATACTGCAATTAACTGTGCAGCACTAATTTCAACCTGACCGAACTACCTGCAAGCTAATGCTAATTTATTCTTATTTCTTATCCAACACCAACCACCAGCATAACATTACTGGCAATACACACATTGTAGTCAACATGTAGCTAGCTAACACTACTTTATCTCAAAACAATACATTATCTGCCTTAACTTACCTGTTAGTAGATCAACTTTACCTTTTCCTCATATATTGAGCAGATAAACTTCTTTCCCAGCTGAATTTGACAACCGCCCAACCGTCCAAACGTTAATAATCCAGAAAAAGCAAGATGGCCGATGCTCCTACAGAGTTTTTATCCGCTCTCACATTAAGGTCACAATGTTTCCACAATGCGACGGCCTCCATTGAATCATCTGGGATTTTACAAAACTCCTCTTTTGCAAATTCTGCAAGCCATAGAGACAATGAGAGATTGAGGTTAGGTTGCTGGACACTAGTGGAGACAATACAAGCGCTGTATGATGTGCTAAAAACCTCATATTGCAATTCTTGCGACAGATATTGGTTGTGATATGATTTGCAGTTAGTGCATTAATGATCATTTTTGCATCACACATTTAATTTTCACTGAAAAAACAATTAAAATCATGATGATGTGATATTTTTTGGGGGGGTATCTACAAACATGTTCTCTTAAATCTGGGGAACAAGATTTGTAGGTCAGGGAGTCTCTGCAGAACTAGAATAGTTCATCATAATGCTGTTTTGTCTCACATTTTGCCTCCTGCAGTTGGCATATTGCACTTGGCCATACTGCGATTTCGATAATATTACGATTAATTGTGCAGCCCTAGTCCAGACTAAAATACCATGACAACTAGGGTTAGATGGATCGCCATGAAATGTGTTACACATTCATATTCTTCTCAGAATTAAATTTGAATAGTAACATTTATAAGACGCTGAAGATGGTAAACATTACACTTGCTTAATGTTAGCATTCTCTTTGAAGCATTCAAAGCATGCTAATGTTAGCACTTAGCTCAAAGCACAGCTGATTTTGAAATATAGTCTCATAAAGCCTCTAGGATGGCTGTAGAATGTAGTTTTAACACTTGGTGGTTGGTGAAACAGCCTGTAAACACATTAATGTTTATTTGTAGTCATGTTTGTTGCCGCCTGATAAAAGTCCAATATTCACTCTCCTGTTTTGGTCTCCACCAACTCTGGAGAAAAAATATCTGGTTCTAATGTCTGTCGTTTGGTGCTGAGCTGCAAGCGTAAAGTGGGTTTATCCATGCTTTTATCCTGAAAACAGCTGTGCGCTGAAGCTTGAAACAATATTGATATAAGCAGTGAGAGTGAACCAACATTTATTAACATTGTAGACCTTAAAAACTAAAACAATGAAATGAAAGGCGCTAAAACCTCCCTCAGAGCTGAAGGGAACTGCAGACAGACAAGCAACCAACGTCAGATTATACATTTGAACTAATGTTATCATGAAAATATCAATTAGTGTAGCTTTAATGATGCTTCAAAAAAATCAAATAAGCATGCAGAGGAATAGAAATGTGACATTGGCAGCGGTTATTACCGGTTTGTCCCTGGTGTGTAACAGCTCCTGTCTCCTCCCTCCTCCCACACACTTCCTCTCTAAACAGGCAGCTCCAGGACTGACTCCACCCTGAGGATAATGGTGATGGTCCAGTATTTTTACCCTGCCAATTAAAGACAGTATGGTAGAGATGAGATATTTAATATCTCTGTTTTTGGGCGCTGTTGATGCTATAGGTAGAAGGGGGACAGCAGTTGAGAAAGACGGGGGGTTGAAAACTCTGCTGGATATGGGATTTTAAGTGGGAGGACATCATTAACAAGACTCGGTGTCTGAGGGAGCAAGAGTGTCACATTACTGTGGTAAAATCAAGTAATTAGAAAGACAGAAAGGACAGAGGCAGACACAGCCAGAGATGAGGGAAGGCGAAGAGCGAGGTGGTGACACTCTACTGACCCAAAATGTTGGGAATTTACTCAAAGTCAGAGGAGAGCCGTGATGGGAATGAGGACGTTTCCATCTTGTCAGTCACAAGCACCTTTTCCTCTCTTATTCATGATGTGCAGATGAAATGTGTGTCTCCCAACCTGCTGAGCACAACAGGGTCGAATCAAGATTTTTATATCTCTTATTGTATGATCATGCTCACTAATCAAATCTTCCCAGTCATCACGAGGACAGAAATGGGTGTTGAACAGTTATTGATGAGAACTTGATTGATCTGTAAAAAACAATGATTTTCTTCTTAATATCAACACACTTACAGTTCAGTCTGTTGAGACTCTTAAAGTCTTTTATTTTGGTACGAAAACATTATTAGTGACCACTTGAATAAGTTAATAAAGGCGTCCAGTGACAGTATAGGTGAGCAGCAGTTTGCAAACAAAGCTGCCAGTGATACAATCTATTAAAAAAATGTTTCCTTTAAGGCCGAGGTATTCAATCCCCGGGTGAAATTGATTTTAACATTACTTTTTATGAGGTGCAATAAAATCACCTAATTTACTCTCCATTAATTAATTTGCACCATCTGTTGTTCCCAGCAACAAGAGAGTGCCTGTTTATATCCGTTTAATTGTTTTATACCTGCTTTAATTTGTTTTTACTTATTGCTATCACTTATTGTTTTTTTTACTGGTATTGCATGTTACTATTAATGTTGAGTGGTTGAGTATTTATGTCTGCTTGTTTAATGCTGAAAGCAAATGTTCCATTTACCTGCATCTCCTAACAGCTTCAGAGACACAAGACAGAGCTGAACAGTATCGTTGTTGTTGTTGTTGTTGTTGTACAGGAAACATCGGCAGCAGATGACCAATGGAAAGTGGCATAATGCAGTTAGTTAATTACCTGCTTATATTTATACAAAAACAAATAAACATACTTGTTTTGTTTGGAATTTCTCCAAAATAAAAAGGGAATTTATAATAAATGAAGTAACTAGCTTCATTTTTCATTCTGGATTTGATTTCATACCCGTAGTTTTATATTAGATTATACTGTATATTCATTGCAGTGGCTCTGTACAAAACTCCATAAGTTTTAAAAGCAAAGAGTTTCAGAAAGTAAAAGGAAGAAAATGCTGGAAAAGGAGTTCCAGGGGATTTTAAGTAAAAGTTGTAGCTCTACGTGCACAATATGGAGCACAAATGATCAACCAGTATTAACTTATCACATATTGGTAAAGTCTTGGCAGCTGCTGTATATAAAGAAATGCCAACAATGAACACTATTGTTTATTTCTATTTGACCCTCCGTTTTCTTCATTGGAACATATACTGGTTTTGTATAGTTATTTATGATGATTTATTTCTAGTAAAGTGTATTGTGTTGTATTTACTGTCACATATTTGATAATAAAGTGTATTATCAATATTCAGCCTCATGACATATTTTTATCACAAATCTTTGAAACAAATGTGAGTAAATTAGTGAGTCCTTATCAAAAATGTTGATGTATGTATCTCGATAATGTCACCCTTTTATGAGCGAATAAAAACATCCTTGATTTTATCTTTGTGACAGTAATTTTTCAAACAGTCCAGTGTGTTTTGGTTTATATTTTCGGCAGCTTATTGAAGACCATTTAAAAATTGGAAAACAACAGTATTGACCAATGCATCAGATTTCTTATTGGCCTACATCTGTCGGGCTGTATACACATGTCAGACCTTCAGTTCTGACTCCCTCATTGTCTGTGAGCACCAACATGCAATATTAATGCTTTAAAATACGTGCACAGATTAACTGTAAATCAATAACGACAAAAGCAGAGATGCTGTGGAACTTTTCCTTTAATTAAAGTACTTCACACCCATTAACACAGTAAGTAACCAGAGGACAGCTGTCAGTGGTTGTAGCATCACAGTAAAAAAAAGTAGGCCAGACGCACAACGAGAACAGCAACAGCACATGGAAACCAGCTTCCATTGTTTATCTAAGCCTGGAAATAAACTAAAGATTTCGGTGTCAAGTAACGGACCGGCACTTTTCAGTTTCATTTTTCATAGAGAACCTGTCAAGACAGGAAGACTTGAGAGACGCTACAGCATATATACAGTTTATCAAAACAGCTTAAGGAATAAAAAGTGACTATCAATGAAATAAAACATCCAACTGGCTCCCGCCGCTCTCAGTCTCTCACACACGCAGGCACTGACGCTCTCCTCAGTTCTCATTTTAAATGTTATCAGTCAAGCCTCTGCACCTTGTACCTAATTAAACAGCTATTGAGTGCAGAGATATGAGGACTGATTTCCTCCACAACAACAGGCGGAGGGATAATGGGAAAGTTAATTCTTCTGTAGATCAGATAAAGGTTGGCATTTTTTAACCACACAATCAGTGTGACTCTGGGGACAGCAATGTCTGTCGGTTCAACACTTGAAATATCTTATGATCTTGAAAATGTTTTGATAAATACCGAATGAACTGTCATAATATTTGGTATATTCATAGTCCTCAGAGGGAGAATCCAGTTAAGTTTAGAGCTCGACTGACATTTTATCTAGCGCCACCGACAGGTCAAAATGTTAACCTTTTTTTGATCACTGTGCTGGTTGCCAATAGTTTCAGCACCTTGCGCCCCATTAAAACCACAACTTGCCACTCTGACATTTCAGTTTGTGTACAGATTAAACAAATGAAATATAATGTAGGTTATTAATTACTCAGCTTCAGAGATGCTGGTAGGCGTGTTATTTCCACGCACAGGCCAGCTGTTTCCTCCTGTTTTCCATCTTTACACTAAGCTAATATAATCCCTGCCTGGCTCTAGCTCAATATTTAATTTACAGATATGAGAGTGCTATCAATCCTCTCATCTTACTCTTGGCATGACATTTTCTCAAAATGTCAAATCAGCTACACTTTAAGATTAATGCTAACATGCTAATAGTAGCAGGAGACTATCTTAGATAAAAGTAGAGCTGAGCCTGAGAAGCTGAACAGAGGAACCTTTTTTTGATGAATTATGTAGCAACAACAAGGCCTTTGACACATATTTCATTCCCCACTAGTGAGAATCAAATTTGTTTTGAAGCCTCCATCAAGGCTAGTGTCTAGTTAAACTTATTAGAGCATCTACATAATTTGACAAAAAAAGTACAAGTACTGTTTAAATAGAGGATTTTAGGATGCTTTGTCTTTTCAGAAAGTTAAGGGGAACAAAGACAAGGTACTGTCCATTTTTTCCAAGTGGGCTTATCAGGACTTATCACCTCTCAGCATTGTCCAATATAAGACATGCGTTGAGCCTCCAGCTCAGCTCAAACTCTACCACAAGAGCAGCACAAAGTGTACAAAGCTTTGTGCTGCTGTGTTGTCAAATGTGACATATTAAAGCCTACACTCTTGTCTTCGGTTTCTGCCTTTTCTGGAACCATTCGGAGACAGGAAGTGAAACATGGGTCCAAAATGGGTTTCTTATCAAATATCTATTGTGGATTTTGGTAAGCTTGTGGCATAGAAAGAAAGTTAAAGACAAACTTTTTAAGTATAACAGTTTTTTTTTTAACCTCTTATCAAGGTAAGACTTGGGTAAGACTATCTGTTTAAGCTACAATAGATATTCCTTTAGATATATTTACAGATAAGGTTGTTCTACTCAGACATGTGACCGAACTTTTCACCATTTGCAGCTACGAGCCTGTGACGAGGCCAGATAACGGCAACTAAGCCTGGCCAGGCAGAAGCAGTCGCATAACTGTTTATTGTTTATCTCCCTGCATTTCAATTCTATTAAATGATAAGCCACATGAAAACAGTCAAAACTATTAATTATAAAAAAAATAAGACTCAGTTGGACGATTTGCGGAATACGTCACCCATATTTCAGGGGTATCATCATCATAAACATTTGTTTCGGCAGCAAATCCTCATCTACAATCAGAACACAAGTCAACCCACCACTAAACAATAAGAATCCACTGACGTTTAGTACCGACACTACTTAAGTATGTTAGTCATGCTAGAAGAAACCTCAGAAAGGGTTTGGTAACAACAAGTTGAGTATAATTTAGGAAGTTTGAGTAGAAAATACAATAACTCTACGAGCAGGCACTGTATGTTTGCAACAGGGATTACAACAGATCACCCGAGTTTCACACCATAACAACCAGCAGTGTCACTGTATATAAAGTATATAGACCATATCAATAGCAGTGCTACAAGTGAGCTACAAACACCAGTTGAAAGTAATTCTCACAGAATTAAACTGAAGCTTTGGGGCAGTGTGTGAGAAACCTCAGTAATTTGCATCACTCTGATGTCTCTGACTTCTTTTCTGTCTGTAGTTGCTCTCCTCTGTCGAGCACTCGAGGCTGCAATCACATGCAATTTCTTCTAATTCATCAGATGGACAGCAGAGTACATCGAGGATGTTCATGTCAAAACACATAACATAGTTTTCCTCGTTGCCGTGTTTTCCTCATTTCTTTCTTGACATTTCTGCCTCCTCCCCCGGGCTTCATTAACATTGAAACAGACATAATTAAAATGCCTCTCATCAGCACTTCTCACTCGCTGGTGCATAATTGGCATTTCACTGACAATCGTAGAAACTAGTACATATGTAGTTATATACAGTACAAATCCAGCACACGTTTCGAGTCATTTCAAACCAATCAAAAACATTTTTACAAAATACTACATGTTGTACATAGAAAATGAACAATTTTGGACAAAATGTCATGCTAATCAAAACACACTCACACTCACACACACACACACATACACATATAGTAAGGCTTTAGGGCTTCATAAAACTTTGAGCATGTCATGCAAACACCAGGATGTCACTGACATATTCATGCCATGCAACTGGTACTCGCCAGTGCTCTGTTCTTCTCATATGAGACATTTAATACATTTACATGCACACAAGTATTTTTCTGTATTTTACTGGTTGCATAAATTGACGAGTGTTAAATTCTGTTTACATGACAGACGCATTTAATTTGACTTTTAATAATCACGTTTCTGGTGCCACTGCTGTCAAAATTGATCAAAACGCAGTTAAATCACAATAAAGCACTTTGTCACTGCCACTTCTATTAAAGTAATTTATAAAATGCTATCCATCAGATGCTACTTTAGAAAAAAAATGTTGGGAGAGAAGATTTTGACTGACTCATCTTAGTGACTGAACATTTTAGAAAATGGAAAATAGAGTGGAAAGAAATTTTAAACGTCTAAAAGATCTTTATGTGTCTAAAAAAGGTGATCGTCCCTGCTGCTGTGTTTTTGGTGTGCAGAATAACACCAAGGTATCGCCGACTGATCTGAATTGAGAGAGAAGATGTTGGTCGGATCTATTTGGCAGGAGCCCGTTGCCTAGTTGCAAAAGATTTAATCAAGGTGCCCACACTGGATGAGGCGTGCGTGACAGTCTGCAGCTGGAGCGTCCACACAGGCTGAAGAGATTTCATCAACCAGACAGAAATAAAATGCATATCAAATATACGAAGGAATTTTCTCATATATCCTGCAAACATTTCTTCCTTATAGCTCCACATTCATTAACTCAGTGAGTCAGTTAAAGACTTGGCTATTAAAGACCAGGTACCTCACACTGCATACATTCTGTCTATAATTGAGTTTTGAAACTTAACTTTCATAAAATAAGTGAAGAAATCCTCGAGTGCACTAAGAATATTTCAACCTTTCTGTTGGAACAATAGAAATCAACTTGTTTCAAGAGCGTCTGAATGTGTCACTAGAATCAATAAAAATTCTAATTTCACTTTCACCTTACTTGACATACATTGTTTTGCATAAGAACGAGGTTCAAATATTCTTACTGCACAGACAACTTTTGTAAATTTGTCTCAAGAAAAATAAACTTTAAAGATACTCTGTGGAGATTTTTTTTAATGATTGTAAAAGTAGGTCCCCATTTTGTTTGTGTCGTGCAGTCGTGCTGCAGTTCACATCTTGCTGCTTGTTTCACACTATTCTGCTGATCAACAGTTGGTTTAACACTCCAACAAATGTAACAATGTGCCAACAAAGGCAGTCAGGAAGAAGAACGCTAGCAAGTGAACACTGACGTAAAGAATGCAGGATCTATAATATTTTCAAATTTCGTCTTATGAGGAAGGTTCGACTCACACAGTGGATTTTGGTAAGACACACTGAATGTAAACTCAACATTTGTTTACTAGGTCACCTTTAACTTTACTAAATTTACAAAACTTTGAGATTTTTGCAGCACTTATACGTTACTGGGATATTAACTGTTACTAAGAACTGTTAATAATTACATAATGAGATTATGCAATCACAGGATTAGTCTTACTTGCATTACTAATCACATTACAATTCTATTTTCGATGTGCATGTAAATGTGTCTATTGTGACTGCTCTATTTGTCCCTTGCCTTCCCCTGTAGGAGGTGGGCCATGGCAACTGGGATCAAAGGGTCATTTGCACATCAGGATGTAGTGCCACTTCAAAGCTCGCACTGATTCACAAAAACATCTTTGTGCCGAACACATGATGTAGCTAAAGCAGAATCACATCCTGTGCTGCTGTGGATATCTGTCACATTACAATAATAAAAAACCGCCACGCATGGCGAACACAATGCAGGCAAGGACAGTGAGACAGGCTGATGCACAGGTGTCGTCCAACCTTTGAACCAGACCTGGCTGAGGAAGTTGGCTGGGAGATACGTCCAGAAAAGAAAAAAAAACCTTTCATCTGTTGAATTCATCTGTTGCTGTCGAGCCCGGCTTGGTTTAATGAGCATTCAACCAGGCAGGCCTCGACCACCACAAATCCTTCATCCGTCCATCAAGTGATTCATTTTCTGAGCTTGGTGTTTCTTTTTTTAGATCTCAAAAGAAAGCCTCCCTCCTTCTAGGAATATGTTTCACTTACTGGAAACCCTTTGTTGTCCCCTCCCTTTATTGTAGTTCGCCTTTTTCATCTATTGGAATAAAAAGAGCCGTTTGTATAGAAACCAGTGCAAACATCTAATTAAAGTTTCAATCAGCATCCTTGTTTTTTTTGCCCCCTGTGGCTTTAAAGCCCTGAAAGCAGCTTTGTTAGAGGCACCTCCCGCTCTCCCAGCAGATTGTCCCTCTTGAGGCTGGTGCCCTTGTTCACCACCTTGAACTTCACTGACAGGTTCTTCACCTGAACCGAGCTTATTGAGTCAAAGAAGAAGTCCTCGTTGAAGACCGGGTTGCGGCTGTTCTTGATAATGTTGCTCCTTTGCTTCTGCAGCTTGCCCGGGTTCAAGTAGACGGACACACAGCAGTTGATGCTCTTGATGTCAAAGTGCTTGTCGTAAAGACTCTCCGCAGCCAGAATGCGGATGAGCAGGCGGGAGGTGCTGGAGTCGTAGTTGGCGCTGATCCTCAGCGACCCGCCTTTGTGCAGGTTGATGGTGTGCTCCCGGTGGAGCCCGTGGTCTGACCCCCCAGCACCTCCGTGGAAGGAGGGCACATGGAGCCTTCGCTGGATATTGGGGCTGGGCTCGGCCGAGCTGCACTCGTCGGTGGAGAGGGAACTGTGGCGAGCGAACGTCCTCTTGGCTTTCACGACTTTGGCCTGCGTCTCATGGGTGAAGATCTTGAGCAGGGAGGCAGAGCGGGAGAGCAGGGGGGAGCTGAAAGGAGAGGACTCAGCGGAGGAGCAGGTATCACTTTCCCCGCCGCTGAAGTATCGATAAGGATTCATGTGAGAGGTGTTGAAGTCAGCTGGATTCAGATGGTTTCCCCCATCGCTGCTTTTCCCCTTTCTCTGGGTGTTCGGGGAGGTGATGGGACTGGTGTGCTCGCAGTGGAAGAGTGACTCTTTGCGGCGAGTGTGGGGGCTTTCCTTCAGGGTTGCAAAGCCATAAGGTGTGTGAGTCTTGGGGATGTAAGGCAGGGACATCGCCGTCTGCGACTGGGGGTCTGCATTGGTGTCTCCAGCCACAACATCATCAGCACTCTCGATCTGTATGATGTGACGGTTTGCCACTCTCAGCAAGTTCTTGGTGTCTCCTGCAATCTTGGCTACCAGCCGTGGACTTCTTGGGCTGCTGATCTTCTTTCCACTGCCAATGGTTTGCTCTGAAGTTGAGGGTTGCAGTCCCTCTTTGGGCTTCAGGCTAGGAATCTCAGGTTCTGGAGGGGTGCTCACTAGCTTTGGCGGGATGAAAAAGTCTGGGATCTTATCTGGGGTGAGGACGTTGCTGTAAGACGGCGTGGCGCCTTTTTTGTCTCCGTTCTCCCCCTGTCGCAGCACGCCAGTCTCCACCGACCCGCGGATCTTATCCAGAACCCACATGGTCCCACAAGGCAGTGGGATGTGTGGGTGTGTGGTGTAGATGCAGTCAGGTGTGTCTGTAATTAATAACACACAGGGGAGGATGCAAATGATCAGAGGACGGTTTCTCCACAGGGACCAGAGAGATAAAAATAACACCAAGGTGTTGAAGCTCTGATGTGCAGTCTACGAGGAAACCTCAAGTATTTAAAAGATCAGGACTTAATAAACAGTAAATATTGCAATTGAATCTGAGCTTAACTTTTGGAGCTATTGACTCGCTTCAAAAAGGCTTCCTTTGAAGAACCGCAGTTCATTTACAAGGCTTATTACATTTCAGGGAAGAGGAACTAACAGCCAACACGTCTCAATAGGCTGCAATGTTAAGTCTTTGAACGGACAGATGATACAAAATCAACCAGAGTTCAACTTTATTACAATATTTACAACAGGCGAAACAGAAGCATAATTGTTTTTAGGCAACAGAGTGGCTTCATTGATTGGTGTAAATATAGACAATCTAGTAAGAGATTAACAACAAGAAAGGGAATACTTCACTGTTCTGTTTTAAATGGCTTTACTATTAATCGACGTTGTATTAACATATATGACATATTTCTGCCCCCTCCTCCTGCTACAACTAAGAACCGTTTATGTGCATTTTATTCGTTAAACAGTGAAAATTCACATTTGATTCTGATTATTAGATTTACTAAACCCCCCCCCCCAGATTAAACAATATTAATATTCCTAAAATAAATTATCTAACAACAGATTGTCTTTCAGCTCCTTTAGATTATTTGGATTTATTTAAACAAAAGAAAAAAATATTCTATAAAAGTTACAAACGAATATTCAGTTCAACAGGTGCTAGGAGGCTTCCTCAAATTGCGCACCGGTGCGTTTTCCAAATCCTCAAACATCCAATGCCTTCATGGGGTTAACGCACTCTTCCTGTCTGCAGAAATGTATAAATAATATACTTACAGCACTAAAGCAAAGCACTCGTTCCTCTCCGTCCACTTGCTCCGTCAGTAACAGGTGTTTCCTCCTCGGGTGAATCCTGTGCGCTGCGCGGCGCTGCTCTGCACCCTCAGACAGTCTCCGCTCCAGAGCTCCTGTCATGCGTTTTTATAGACGGCACAGGGCAGCAGCTGACCAATAAGATCAAACTGTGCCTTTCCCAACAGGACCCACTGGAAAACACACTGGTTACATATCAGAGGCAAAGGAATCTTACAGGTGGGTTGAACATTTTTAACCAGCGCAGTCTGAACTCATCACCATCAGGATGTTTTATGGGGATATCTGCGCAGTTTCCAAGTGTGCTCCAAGTGTACTTTGTCACATAACCTATAAAATAAGAGTAAGGATACCACAGTCTGCTTTATTCATTGTGTTTTCTTTCCCCAGGAATAGAAACAGTTTAATTGTTTTCACTGATGCATTTCAATATGGCTCTCTGTCGAAGAGCCTCAGAAGAGTCACATTTGTTCTTGTTTCTTTCCACTAGCACAGAGCTTTTGTGTCTCAGTAATTCATTGTATATAATAAGACTCTGGTTATTTGAGCAGGAAAAGCACATGCAGGTGAGAAAGACAATGCTGTGTTGTGCACATGCACCTGTGTGCTGTGTGGTTTAATTCAATTTACAGCTTTTTTTCCTTCTTCCCTTTTTTGTCTGTCTTTCTTCGGGTTTAAACCAACTGATCGGTTTCCCTGGAAACTTTGCTATGGCAACAAATACATTTGTCTGTCTAAAATAGGAAGGGGCCCCACTGATTTCATTGATCTGCAGGACAAAAAGCACTTTATTTGTCCAGATTGCTTGGTTTTGAGTCAAGTGTCGTGTAAGCCCTGGACTGAGAGGGGTAGAGCCTCTGCTTTATCAGAGGTCAGTTGCATAGAGCCAATAACATCCCTGCATTGACTTGAGAGGAAGGAATTTAGAAATGTAAATGTCAGCTGCTGTGAGTGTGCCGCAACAAAAGCTTTACAAACAGCTGATTAACAGACATTTAATGTGAATAGCCCTGGAATAGGTGTCAGCTCTGCCTGCCTCTGCCTCACTCAGATGGAAAATGAGATGAGCTTGATTGTTCTGGATCCAGATGCCCTTCTTGTCACAGCTAATTGGGAGCTCGCAGAGGAAAACGAGCAGAGCTTTACAGTAAATGAGATCTTGGGTTCAACTTCTAATTCCAACCTCCTTTAAAAACACATGAAAACTTGTTAGTATCAAGGTATTTCTCTATATATTATATCTATTTATTAAATATTCTTGCTCAAATACAGAAATATGTCAAAGAAACTGTGTTTGTAGGACTACTTCTCATGTGCAAGCTTGAGAAAATGTAAAAGGTAACAAATTAATGTACATTTATTTTGAAAATAACATATTAAAAGTTTTTAAATTATTTAATGATCTGTTATGGCCACATTCTAGACTAATTAATAGGTTCAAGTTCAACTAAAAAAAGACATTTAGAAAAATGTCTGAAGAAAAGAATAAATTAATTTATTGGATATTTCTATTTAATGTGTTACTAATGTTCCATTATAATGATTTTTAGTTCAAATATATTCATTTGGAGGCTTTTCCAAGCAAATGCTGATACAGGTGATTGTTTGTGATTAAATCAGCATATATTTCTGCCACCCTTTTGCCTTCCAATGAATATTTCTCTACATCTGCCTCTGAGCTCACTCAGATGTATGGATATTTGCTCTCAGACACATAAGACTTCTGTAACTAATACATTCAATTTGTAAGGTTTGTCAACTGACAGTCAAGCAAGGTGCATACAGAATGCATATAACATTTATCAGCCCACATACAAACATATCTATGTCTGTTTGCACACGCACAGGTGCAAATATGCAGTGACAACCCAGATCTAGAGAGGAGGATAAACCTTCAACATAACATCCTTCACCAGGTTGTGAAAGGGAACCCGGTCCTGATGGTTCAACCTGTAGTGGCGAGGACCCACATCACGTCAACCTCAGTCTGGCATGTAAAGCATGTCAGCTATTCCACCTCTGAGTGGAGATAATTACACGTCTTGCTTTCTGAGGTCCTCTCGGAGGTCATTGTCTGATGTAATCAACCTGTAAAAAGAGCCACTTACCATATAGATTGCAGAGCCCAATTTAAACCCTCACCCACTGCTGTCTGTCATCTGAAGCCAGCAGAGAGGCAGGCAGTGCTCACTCAGCACCCAGCAGACACTCAACCTGTTACACTTATCAAGCAAAACGTGTTTTAAAAGGTTTCAGTGCTGAATCAGTTGTAGTTATGCAATTCAGAACTACCCCAAGACTAGTCGGTTTATTCTCGGTGCAACTGGTCATCATTTTGATTATTCCACTAATTATATTGTTAAGTAATTGTTTGAGAGCTCATCACAATTTTCTAGAACCCAAAGTGACAAATTCAAATAGATTTTCTTGTAATACAAAACAGATAAAAACACATGGATGAACACTGATATTGGGGCTGTATTAGATGTTTGCACATTTTGATTAGAAATTATGTAGATATTTAATAATTTAGTGTAAATTCTCTGCATCAGTGCTTTAAAACCTCGTTTGTTATGTCCCTGTGTGTCAACAACAATCTACATGTAAATATTTAATAAAAATGATCACAGACAACTATAGAAAAGAAGTTGTAAAGTTTGAATGTTTAAGCTTTCTTACATAATTTCTTAAATGATTTAGTTCTATAAGTTGACTAATCAGTGTTTTAAAACTTTATTACAAACCTTGAAGTGTTATTATAAACACGAGAGACCTTATAAGTACGATAAATATAAAAAGAACATCTGAAAGTTTATCAAAATATAAACCATATCTGCTGAGGAACAGCTGAATGTCATACCACTTCATGCTCACACTGTTAACAGCTTCCTTTACGAAATAATGAGATCGGTACACAAGCGTCTGAGGAGGACAGACAACAGAAAAGGTTAATGTGTCTGTTCTGCTCTCATTAAGGGGCCGAACCCTATGTCTATGTCTGTCTAACACTGAAGCTATTACAAAGTACTAAAAGTGTTCTTCCTCAGTGAATAATACACAACAGCTCCAGCGTGTTGCCTTTTCTCTCCATGGACGGACAGACGTACCAACACATAGGCAGCGACTAATGCAATTATATGTGGAAAAAAGCAGCTGAGGGAGTCAACCCACAGAGTGTTCCACCACCATCTTCCCTGCTGACGTCCAATTGACTTCCTGGAAAGATACGAAGGAGGAGTTGTGGTCGTGTACACAGAAATTAGGCTGAACAGAAGCTGCACAAAAGCCCTGCAGGAGGTGTAGTGTTCCTCCAGGTTTGCTCACTTGTTTCTTTTTTACTGTGTGTGTGTGTGTGTCTGCATTGACTCTTAGCACATATGGTCACTCATTATGGCCGACACGTCATAGGGTCCATTTTTACCCCACTCTCTCTTATTGTTGCCATCCATTTTTTCTCCTTCCTGCCAACCCGCTTCCTCACAACTTCTGTTGCCTTGGAGACATCTGATATCCTGACATATGAATCAATCCCCCCACCTCCCCCCTCCCTCTCTAACCACCTCTCTATTCTCCTCATCTCATCTCACATGTCTTCACCCCTCCGGTCTGTTACAGTTCACCCGGTTCACTCATTCCTCGGGACGTCCAGCTATCCACAGGTCACCAAGGGCTCTGACTCAGTCTAGTCATTGGGAGTCTGGAGAAGCCAGCTGGAGTAACACATGTGACTCAGTGCGGGTTGTAACATCTGGCTCTGATCCAGGAGTGAGGTTTATACCCTGCAGTTTAAGCAGAGTGTTATCCTTTACAGACAAAAAACACTGCTTGAAAGAAAACCACAGAGAGGGAAGCAATTCTGCAAATGCCAGGACCATTTGAGTGTCTTGCTCGTTCTGGTCCGCTGAACTGGCATTTGGATTGGACACACGCAGGGCAAAAGGTCAGACCTGTCACCACAGGAAACAAATTTGATGGACACGGCAGCAAAGATGGTATATCTCTGTTGGGGGATACTGATGGGATGACCTGGGAGCGGAGGGATGTGTTGGTAAAGGGCTGCAAACAGAAAGGAAAGACTACACATAGAGCTGGCCTGAAACGCCAACATACAATATGTTGATCTACAATTTTCAAACAAACAATCAGGTGAAACTTCACTTTAAGGAGTTTCACAGATTGATGCTTTTCATTTTCCAGCAGCAGATTACAGGCAGCCATAGGTGAGTCAATTTTACCGGGATGAAATAAGAAAGTGGAGATAATAAACCATATAACTCATGTGCAGGGGGCAGCATATAACGACACAGCATATGAGTTATACTGGCAGTAGTTACAGAGTCGCACTGGGAGATGAGAAATGTGGAAATGACCAGAGGATGCTTTGGCACATTGATATAAGAGGGTGAAATATATGGCCCATATTACTGTCTGTGTCTGTATTTTTAAGCAGAATGGCAGCGCCCCCGACTGGAGAACACAGGCAGGACAGCATTGTGGCTACAGCTTGTGGCGCTGATTGAAGAATCACAGAAGTTTGAGCTGAGAAAAAAAAGAAAAATACACATTTTTATTGATTGATAATATTGGAAAGAAATGTTACTATAAAATCCTACTCATGTTTTGACCTCTTAAATCTATTATCTTTGTGGTCACTGATGCTTTCAGACTAGCTGCTCAAATGTAACAAGAAACAAGCTGTTGCTGCCCCCTAGAGGCACAAAGCAGTCAGGAAAATAATAAAAGCACATAGTTTGTGTGTTCAGCATCAGGAAGTCTCCACCACCCAGATCACAAGGGCGACTGCAGGGTACAGATCTAATCATCACACAGTCTGAACACACCAAACCAAACTGTATTTCACAGTAATAAGTGATTTGATCTATTAGAGCCAAGGTAAAACATACACACATACAATCCCCTGGAAGCAGTTAATAATATGAGCTCATTTAGTCTCCATTAAAAAAAAGGTTAGTGGTGTTTGTATGGTTACTCAAGTAAGAACAAACACAGTCTTACCTCAGTTTCCTTGCATCACATTGACTCTTAAAAGCACCTGTAAGAAAAGACACAGCG